TGGAAGCCTACGAGATAGTTGTCATGCCTTTATTTGTTAGTGGCATTTATGGTTAGAATGGTTTTGGAAACATACCTTCATCATTGTGCACGCATATTATTTCTTACCGAAAGATTCCAACACAAGTTCATTTAAGTAAGACAAACACATAATATAAGCATAGAATACGTTACTTTATTAAAGATGAAAAATACAATTTTCGAAACCTATTGTTTTAAGTTATCATGTATAGGTGGTATAATTTCTACAATACTCAAGCATTCTAATGGGATAAGCTAAACAAAAACGTAAAAGTGAATACATGAACAAGATTCTGAAAAATGACCAGAACATATGACAAAGATATATTTGAATTTAGATGGATACTTACGTTCTATGAACAAAGGACAAGTGAAAAGGAAAACAAATACAGATGACATTAGATTACACTTGATATACAAATGATATTTATCTTTTTTATTTCTCTTTCTTCACGGGGAAGAAGGAGATTATCAATTGGAAGCCTAGAAAATAGTTTAATGCTTTTATTTTGTAGTGCCATTCATGGTTAGAATGGTTTTGGAAACATATCTTCATCATTGTGCATGCTTATCCTTTCTTACCGAAGGATTACAGCACTAGTTCATTTAAGTAATACAAACAAACAATACAAGCATAGAATCTGTGACTTTAATAAAGATGAAAAATTAAATTGTTGAAACCTATCGTTTTTAGTCATCATGTATAGGTGGTATAATTTCTACAACGCGCAAGCATTCTACCGGGATGAGCTAAACAAAAACGTAGAAGTGAATACATGTACAAGATTCTGAAAAATTACCAGAACGTGTAACAAAGGTTAATTTGAAATTGTTTGAATACTTACCTCCTATGAAAAAAGACCAAGGGCAGAGGAAAAATTTGGTAATTATATATTAGAAAAAACACTTTATATACAAATGATACTCATCTTTTTCATTTCGCTTTCTTTATGGGGAATAGGGAGATCATCAATTGGAAGCCTACGAGATAGTTGTCATGCCTTTATGTGTTAGTGGCATTTATGGTTAGAATGGTTTTGGAAACATACCTTCATCATTGTGCACGCATATTATTTCTTACCGAAAGATTCCAACACAAGTTCATTTAAGTAAGACAAACACATAATATAAGATAGAATACGTGACTTTATTAAAGATGAAAAATTAAATTTTCGAAACCTATTGTTTTAAGTTATTACGTATAGGTGGTATAATTTCTACAATACTCAAGCATTCTAATGGGATAAGCTAAACAAAAGCGTAAAAGTGAATACATGAACAAGATTCTGAAAAATGACCAGAACATATGACAAAGATATATTTGAATTTAGATGGATACTTACGTTCTATGAACAAAGGACAAGTGAAAAGGAAAACAAATACAGATGACATTAGATTACACTTGATTTACAAATGATACTTATCTGTTTCATTTCTCTTTCTTCACGGAAAAGAAGGAGATTATCAATTGGAAGCCTAGAAAATAGTTTAATGCTTATATTTTTAGTGCCATTCATGGTTTGATGGTTTTGAAAACATATTTTCATAATTGTGCACATATATTCCTTATTACAAAATGATTACAACACTCGTTTACTTAAAGTAAGACGATCAAACAATATAAACATAGGATATGTGACTTTATTACAGATGAAAAATTAAATTTTCGAAACCAATGGTTGGAAGTTTTCATATGAAGGTGAAATCATTTTTGCAACACTCAAGTATTCTAAGTTGGTGGGCTAAACCAAAGCGTAGAAGTAAAGACGTGAAAAATATTCTGAAAAATTACCAGAACGTGTAACAAAGGTTAATTGGAATTTGTTTGAATACTTACCTCCTATGAAAAAAGACCAAGGGCAGAGGAAAAATTAGATAAAAATATATTAGAAAACACTTTATATACAAATGATACTCATCTTTTTCATTTCGATTTCGTTATGGGGAATAGTGAGATCATCAATTGGAAGCCTACGAGATAGTTGTCATGCCTTTATTTGTTAGTGGCATTTATGGTTAGAATGGTTTTGGAAACATACCTTCATCATTGTGCATGCATATCCTTTCTAACCGAAGAATTACAACACTAGTTCATTTAAGTAAGACAAACAAACAACATAAGCATAGAATCTGTGACTTTATTAAAGATGAAAAATTAAATTTTCGAAACCTGTTTTTTTAAGTTATCATGTATAGGTGGTATAATTTCTACAACACCCAAGCATTCTAACGGTATAAGCTAAACAAAAGCGTAGAAGTGAATACATGTACAAGATTCTAAAAAAAATACCAGAACGTGTAACAAAGGTTAATTTAAAATTGTTTGAATACTTACCTCCTATGAAAAAAGACCAGGAACAGAGGAAAAATTAGATAAATATATATTAGAAAACAATTTATATACAAATGATACTCTTTTTTTTTTCATTTCGATATCTTTATGTGGAATAGGAAGATCATCAATTGGAAGCCTACGAGATAGTTGTCACGCCTTTATGTGTTAGTGGCATTTATGGTTAGAATGGTTTTGGAAACATACCTTCATCATTGTGCATGCATATCCTTTCTTACCGAAGGATTACAACACTAGTTCATTTAAAGTAATACAATCAAAAAATATAAGCATAGAATATGTGACTTTATTACAGATAAAAAAATAATTTTTCAGAACCAATGGTTGGAAGTTTTTTATACATAGGTGGAATAATTTCTACAACACCCAAAAATTCTTACGTGGTCGGCTAAACTAAGGCGTAAAAGTAAATACATGAACAAGATTTTTAAAAATGACCAGAAACTATAAACACATACATATTTAATTCAAGAAGGATACTTACGGACTATGAACAAAGGACAAGGGGGCAGGCACAAAGAATATGACATAAGATTACACTTCATATACAAATGATAATCAATGTTTTCATTTCTCTTTCTTCATGTGGAAGAAGGAGATTATCAATTGGAAGCCTAGAAAATAGTTCAATGCTTTTATGTTGTGGTGTCATTTATGGTTCGATGGTTTTGAAAACATATCTTCATCATTGTGCATGCATATCCCTTCTTACCGAAGGATTACAACACTAGTTCATTTAAAGTAAGACAATCAAACAATATAAGCATATAATATGTGACTTTATTACAGATGAAAAATTGAATTTTCGAAACCTATTGTTTTAAGTTATTATGTATAGGTGGTATAATTTCTACAACACCCAAGCACTCTAATGGGATAAGCTAAACAAAAGCGTAAAAGTGAATACATGAACAAGATTCTGAAAAATGACCAGAACAAAGACAAAGATATATATTTGAATGTTATAGATGGATACTTACGTTCTATGAACAAAGGACAAGTGAAAAGGAAAACAAATACAGATGACATTAGATTACACTTGATATACAAATTATACTCATCTTTTTCATTTCGCTTTCTTTATGGGGAATAGGGAGATCATCAGTTGGAAGCCTGCGAGATAATTGTCATGCCTTTATGTGTTAGTGGCATTTATGGTTAGAATGGGTTCGGAAACATACCATCATCTGAAAGGGGAAGATGGACAGTTTTCATGCTGTATTTTTTAGTGGTATTCATGATTACAATGGTTTTGGACACATATTTATATCACTGTGTACGAATATTCTTTCTTCCCGAATATTACAACAGTAGAGCACCACTCGGACTTAATAGGAACTTTTAAATTTGCACGTCTACAGCTGTGACTGCAACGTGTGACGTCATTTTATGGCACTGCGCATGCGTTACGTCGTCTCAGTCGGCGATCGAGAATGCGTCAACCTTGATTTTCCTAAATCTAGTACATACATACATACAAACATATTGTTATATAGCGCCTTTACATGCTCAAGGTACTAGTATGCCGCGTGCGCATACAATATTCAGTTCCTCACGTAGACAAAGGAACATTCCTTCCCTGCTATTATGTAAAAATGTGTAGAAACTTTTCTACACATTGTTACATAATAGCAGTGAAGGGATGTTCTTTTGTTAATGGTAGAATGAGGAACTGTATATTTTGTCCTCTTTCTTTGTCCGTGATATTCATAGTGTTACTTCCTGCATGCATGTATATCGTCGAGTGCAATCTGTAAGATTTCTAATTGTAGTTAAGTACGTTGACACGCATGATCAGTCGGCGTTCGTCGTGTTCTCGTCCACTCAATCTAAAAGTCCCTAGTAACCATTGTGTTGTTCTCTACACACCCCTTACGCATGTGCCTATGCGAAATAAGACACAGAAGCGTATAGTTCGCCCAATGACTGATAGCAAAATAAGGGAATATGGAACTTGGATACTCAATTATGATGGGTCAGAAGTTTTCTCTACCAATGGTGTGGCTGAAAAGTGCACGGCGTTCTACGACACTATCCATCAGTCGATGGATACTTACTTCCCAACTCGTACTATCAAAATGCACCCAGCTGATGAATTTTGGATCACCCCTTACCTTAAAGGCCTTATCAAGCGCCAAAAAGCCTTTCGTGACAACAAACCATGTTTGTGGAGACAACTACGAAACAAAATCAAGCGTGAAATTAAGAATGCCAAGGCATGTATTACGTTAATCGTGTACAACGTCTGAAATCTACCAATCCAAGCGAATGGTTCCGACAAATTTGTGTGATGTCAGATAAAGACACGTCGGTCTCAATCTGTGAGCCAAATTTAGAGCCTTCAGACCACGAAGGAATCGCAAATGCCATCTGCGAGAAGTTTTCCTCAGTTGCAGCCGATCTTGAACCAGTTGACAGAGAACGCTTGCCAGCTTACTTACCAGCACAACCTCTTCGACATGTATCTCTATGGGAAGTCTTCATGGGATTAAGCAAAGTCAAAGTCAGGAAAGCATGCGGTCCAGATTGTATCTCGTCGCGGTATATCAAACTATTTGCATATGAGCTTACTAAACCCTTTGACTGATAGCATTAACGCATCCTACTCCCAGTTGTCTATTCCGCCAATGTGGGAGCGAGCGCATGTTACGCCTCTTCCCAAAACGATACCAGCTCACGTGGACAGTCTTCGACCAATTGCCCTGACGGACACCTTCGCAAAGGTGGCAGACCACTTTGTCGCTAAGGATGTTCTCAAATCAATGATGTCAAGGTTAGATCCTACTCAGTATGGTAATTTAAAAGGTATTTCTACCAGTCACTGTTTGATCGACATTCTTCACACGGTTCACAGTCATGCTGATAAGGGTACCTCATCCTCCACGATCCTCATCACCGATTTCTCTAAAGCTTTTGATCGGGTGGATCATACCGTAGCGATCAACAAACTATTAGACATGGGTGTCAAAGGCGGTCACGTTGCATGGATTGAGAATTTCCTCTCAGAGCGCCATCAACGAGTGAAATACAAAGGGGCCCTGTCCGATTGGTGTTTTACTTTAGCAGGTGTACCCCAGGGCACCAAATTAGGCCCGGTTGTGTTTATGGCCTTGGTTAAAGAAATGATGCAGCAGTCAATGAGAACAGTGTACCTAGTGCCAATGATATATGTGTTAATCATTTCAAATATGTTGATGATCTCACTTTCGTCGAAACGCGCCCTGCTAGATCACAATCAACCCTCTTGTCTGAACTAACTCAACTACAGGAATGGTCAGCCACCAATAACATGCGTTTGAATTTGCAGAAGTGTTCAACAATTGACGTCTGCTTTTGTAGGAATCAGGCACGACTGGTGGTGCTTACTCTCTAGGACGCATCGCTGCAACGTAGCGATACATTAAAACTACTTGGAGTTTTTATCCAGTCGGATTTGAAATGGAATACGCATGTTCAGTATATGGTAAAACGTGCAAATAGTCGTCTGAATGTCCTTCGCACCTTGAAGCATCACAGTCTTCCAGTTCAGGGCCTTATTGTTGTTTCTACTAGTTTCGTTAGACCAGTGGTCGAATATGCTGTACCTGTGTGGTCAGGAGGTCTGACAAAGCAACAAGTCGAAACCATCGAACAGGTACAAAAGCGTGCCCTTAGAATCATCCTTGGTGCAGAATATTACTCGTACAAGAGTGCATCACTCCAGTCAAAAGTAGTGTCCCTCGAAGATAGACGGGTGAAACTCGTTCGCAAAATCCATGCAACTGTCCTCATGTAAACTGCATCACCTTCTACCAAAAAGTAGGCCTTGTAACTATCAGACTAGAAACGCAATAGCCACTGTAGAGTTACGATTTCGAACTACAAGATTTAGAAACAGCCCTGTGCCTTCTTTGATCCGGCATCTTAACACTGATAGGATTGATTATAAAGAATATTTTGTTAAGGTGTTGTTTGTTTGTTTTTTAAATTATGTTTTTTAACATTTTCATCAATATTATCTAATGAGAAGCAGGATCACGATTATGAGAAATTCAATAATTTTTAAATGCAATATATATTTATTTGGAGTACCTTGATTAAATTTTCTTTTTTGTAATAATTGTTTTCTAGAATGATTATAAATTGTAAATTGTTTCTTCTTCAAAATATCTTTTTTTCCCCTCTAATCAAAAAACATTCTCTTTTTATATAATGACAATTAACAATGATTTAGTCTCATACTTTTAACTGAAATTACAAATCAGCCGAGATGTTAATAACAGTATTTGAATATTTATGTGAAGGTAGTGTAATCTATTTTATCATGATAATTTCAAGCATTCAGTGTTTGTGTGTGTTCCCCTACTCTTCTCTCCCTCTTTTTCCCTCCATACCATCCTCCTTTTTTAACTCTTTCCTTTCATCATTATTTCTCTACCTTCTTTGTCCATGTTAGGACAGCTTCTGTCTCCTTGTGCTCCTACATCCCAGTTGCAGTTTCCCCACCCTCTCTCTCTCTCTCTTCTTTTTTCTCTCTTTCTCTCTCTATTTCTCTCTTCATTTTTCTCTGTCTCTTTTCTGTTTCATCCATCCTGACTGTACTTTTTTTTCTCAATTAATAATAGTTTGATTGTGATGTTACCATGTTCTAAATTATGCATTTTATCGATTGTCACTGTGTTATTGTACATTTTCGCAATTCGGCTTTGCTGCAATGAAAGTATTTAAATAAACCATTTTAAATTTAATGAATGGAAAACTTCATTTAAGTAAGACAAACACACAATATAAGCATATAATATATGACTTTATTAGAGATGAAAAATTAAATTTTCGAAACCTATCGTTTTTAGTTATCATGTATAGGTGGTATAATTTATACAACACCCAAGCATTCTTACGTGGTGGGCTAAAACAAAAGCGTAGAAGTGAATACATGAACAAGATTCAAAACAATGACCAGAACATATAAACAAAGAGATAATTAAATTTAGATGGATACTTACGGACTATGAACAGAGGACAAGGGGGCAGGGACAAAAAAAGATGACATAAGATTACACTTTATATACAAATGATACTAATCTTTTTTTTTCATTTCTCTTTCTTCATGCGGAAGAAGGAGATTATCACTTGGAAGCCTAAAACATAGTTTCATGCTTTTATTTTGTAGTGCCATTTATGGTTCGATGGTTTTAAAAACATATCTTCATCATTGTGCATGCATATCCTTTTTTACCGAAGGATTACAACACTAGTTCATTTAAGTAATACAAACACATAATATAAGCATAGAATATGTCACTTTAATAAAGATGAAAAATTTAATTTTCGAAACTTATTGTTTTTAGTTATCATGTATAGGTGGTATAATTTCTACAACACCCAAGCATTCTAACGGGATAAGCTAAACAAAAGCGTAAAAGTGAATACATGAACAAGATTCTGAAAAATAACCAGAACATATAACAAAGATCTATTTGAATTTAGACGGATACTTACGTTCTATGAACAAAGTACGAGTGAAAAGGGAAAAAATACAGATGACAATACATTACACTTTATATACAAGTGATACTCATCTTTTTCATTTCTCTTTCTTCACGGGGAGGAAGGAGATTATTAATTGGAAGCCTAGAAAATAGTTTAATGCTTTTATTTTGTAGTGCCATTTATAATTCGATGGTTTTGAAAACATATCTTCATCATTGTGCATGTATATCCTTTCTTACCAAAGGATTACAACACTAATTTTTTTAAGTAAGACAAACAAACAATATAAGCATAGATTCTGTGACTTTATTAAAGATGAAAAATTAAATTTTCGATACCTATTGTTTAAAGTTATCATGTATAGGTGGTATAATTTCTACAACACCCAAGCATTCTAACGGGATAAGCTAAACAAAAGCGTAAAAGTGAATACATGAACAAGATTCTCAAAAATGACCCGAAGATATAACAAAGATATATTTGAATTAAGATGAATACTTACGATCTATGAACAAAGGACAAGTGGAAAGGAAAAAATACAGATGACATTAGATCACACTTTATATACAAACGATACTCGTCTTTTTCATTTCTCTTTCTTAATGGGAATGATGGAGATCATCAGTTGGAAGCCTTGCAGACAATTTTCATGCCGTATTTTTAAGGGGCATAATGGTTACATTGGATTAGGAAACATATATTTATCATTTAACACAAATATTCCTTTTTACACTAACTCATCAAAGTAAGGCAAACATACATAAGATAAACATACAATCCACGACCTCATGAAAGATGAGAAATACAAGTTTTAAAAACCGGTAGTTGGAAGTTATCATGAAGAGGTGGTAGCATTTCTACAACACCCTGGCATTCTATCTTGGTAAGTTTATGATTACTCAAATTGAATACAAATATAAACATTCAGAAAATGACCGGAATGTATAACAACAATTGTAATTATATTTAGATGTATACTTACACGCTATGAATGAAAAACAATAGTAGAGGAATAAAGATATTAGAATACACTTCATATTCGAATGATACTCATCGTTTTCATCCATCTTTATTCATGATAAAGAAGGAGATTATCAGTTGGGATCCTTATACCCATTTCCAAGCCATGATTTTCAAGTTGTATTTATGGTTACAATGGTTAATGAAACATAGCTTCATCATTGTGCACGAATATTCCTGCTTACCGAAGGATTACAATACCAGTTCATTAAAGTAATACAAACACATAATATAAGCATAGAATATGTCACTTTAATAAAGATGAAAAATTTAATTTTCGAAACTTATTGTTTTAAGTTATCATGTATAGGTGGTATAATTTCTACAACACCCAAGCATTCTAACGGGATAAGCTAAACAAAAGCGTAAAAGTGAATACATGAACAAGATTCTCAAAAATGACCCGAAGATATAACAAAAATATATTTTAATTAAGATGGATACTTACGATCTATGAACAAAGGACAAGTGGAAAGGAAAAAATACAAATGACATTAGATTACACTTTATATACAAATGATACTCGTCTTTTTCATTTCTCTTTCTTAATGGGAATGATGGAGATCATCAGTTGGAAGCCTTGCAGACAATTTTCATGCCGTATTTTTAAGGGGCATAATGGTTACATTGGATTAGGAAACATATATTTATCATTTAACACAAATATTCCTTTTTACACTAACTCATCCAAGTAAGGCAAACATACATAAGATAAACATACAATCCACGACCTCATGAAAGATGAGAAATAAAAGTTTTAAAAACCGGTAGTTGGAAGTTATCATGAAGAGGTGGTAGCATTTCTACAACACCCTGACATTCTATCTTGGTAAGTTCATGATTACTCAAATTGAATACAAATATAAACATTCAGAAAATGACCGGAATGTATAACAAAAATTGTAATTATATTTAGATGTATACTTACACGCTATGAATGAAAAACAATAGTAGAGGAATAAAGATATTAGAATACACTTCATATTCGAATGATACTCATCGTTTTCATCCATCTTTATTCATGAGAAAGAAGGAGATTATCAGTTGGGATCCTTATACCCATTTCCAAGCCTTGATTTTCAAGTTGTATTTATGGTTACAATGGTTAATGAAACATAGCTTCATCATTGTGCACGAATATCCCTGCTTACCGAAGGATTACAATACCAGTTCATTAAAGTAATACAAACACATAATATAAGCATAGAATATGTCACTTTAATAAAGATGAAAATTTTAATTTTCGAAACTTATTGTTTTAAGTTATCATGTATAGGTGGTATAATTTCTACAACACCCAAGCATTCTAACGGGATAAGCTAAACAAAAGCGTAAAAGTGAATACATGAAGAAGATTCTGAAAAATGACCAGAACATATGAAGAGTTTCATTCCAAAAGTAGCTAAATCCACTTTGGGTACTTCTGAGTAAATCACCTTTTTTTATTTCTCTATTTTCCCTTTAGCCATGGACTTTAATGTTGTTATATATTTTAAAGGTGTCACCCTGGACCAATAATATATGATGAGAAAAAATCTACCAGTTTTTCCTGATTTTTACTTAATTTTTAGAATTATTTTTTTCGTGGATTTAGCTCCTTTTGGAATGAAACATGATATTGTACCTGGAAAATTTCATATTTTCTCAATAAAGTCACTGAAATTTATTCAAATTTAGTAGCAAACCTTTTCTTTAAAAATAATAATAGTGAAATCACAACAACAAAAAAGCTTTTGAAAAGAAATTAAACAACATATCACATTTTCATTCCTAAAGGAGTTAAATCCGTTTTATTCCAAAAGGAGCTAAATCCATGTTTCATTCCAAAAGGAGCTAAATCCGCAAAATCTAAAAAATTTAGTAAAAATCAGGAATAAGTGGCAGATTTTTTTCTTATCATA